TCGCTGTGGCTCAGAGGCAGAGCAGGTTGTCCACTAATCGAAAGGTTGTTGGTTCGATCCCCGGCTCCTCCCACCACATGTCGAAGTATCCTTGAGCAAGATACTGAACCCCGATTTGCTCCCGATGCTGTGCATCGGTGTGTGACTGTGTGTGAATGTGTTAGTTTCTGTTCGATGGACTTTACCATCGCTGAGTGAATGTGGCACGTAGTGTAAACGTGTGGTTGGATTACTATACAGTACAGGTCCATTTACCATTTAAAGCATTGATTTTCAACCTTTTTCCTTTCTTTCCTGTCATTGAGTAAACTGACTCGGTGACATATTTTATTGGTTTTTCATATTCTATTCAATGCATAACAATAGCTGTAGAGAACAACTGATAAACTGTACAACAAACCCAAACAGTGAACTCAATAAACTGCAGGAAGTTTGTGTAAAACCATTTGGATAAAGTTTGAGCAGATTATTATGTCAGAGATGAGCTCTCTTTTTTTGTCAATAAACTTTCTGAATATAGCTTGTACTCAGGTCTTTGAAAGTTAGATCATAAATAATAATTAAAAGAATAAAAATAACATTTTATTTAGTTTTCTTCACAAAAATGAACAAAAATGCTCATAAAAAAATCAAGAAGGCATCGCGACCCACTGTGAAGCTTTCCCGACCCCCAGGTTGGGAACCACTGCATTGAACTATCCATGAATTCATCAGAAAAAGCAATTGACAGTCAATAATAACAAAACGTAGAACCAGCTGAATGGGAACCACTCATAAAGACAACCCTCCTCTGGTAAACTCCACAGGTTGCCTTCAAATGAGTTGTACGGTACCACGCGGGACATTTTACAGTGAAATAACCAACCTGTCAGTGCTTTCTGATGTATATGCTGCTATGTCATGGAGAAACAGTTTCTGAAATACATCAAATATAACTTTAACATGCATGTGCAGCAGCTGTTATTTACTGGCCCACGTATGTGCAATGCGATACATCGCGATGAAATAAGCTAAGGCAGATTTATTGGTCAGGGTCTGTAGGCTTTCTTCACTGGAGACATTCTGACACGTCACAAGAGGAAAAGCAGAGGTGTACATAGTGAAATGAAGCATGGCTGAATTCCATTTAGCTGCTTCAGTGTCAGGGTCCTGGTTGTTCACGTTGGCTCGCTGACTGAATAGAACGGAGCCATCATTAATATCATCAATGACACCAGTGTTTTTCCTGCTATAAGTCAAAGTGTCTGCTGTGAAAAAGGACTTTCCTTTCTTTTTAGATATAGCCAATAACTGTCTGAACACAGGCAGCCT